GGACGACAGAGTGAGACTCCAACTCAAAAAAAAAAAAAAAAGAAGTGTGAAACTAGGACATCATTGAGCCCTAAACTAATCAATTGTGTTGTTTCCTCTCTAAAAAAAAAACCTGAATGGAGGGGCTTGGTTTCTTAGCTAGAGGACTAGACTACTTTAGACTTCAGAGTTTAATAGTTTAGGCCGGGTATAACACTTTGGGAGGACAAGGCCAGAGGATTGCTTGAGTCCAGGAGTTTGAGACCAGCCTGGGAAACATAGGAAGACTCTGTCCCTACAAAATTTTAAAGATAAGAGAGTTTAACAGTTTGTTGAGTGCTATTTTAGAAGGAGTAACTCTTGTAACTAGGACTATTCCAGTCATTTAAAAAGTATACTTAGATGGGCATCGTGGCTCACACCTGTAATCCTAGCACTTTGGGAGGCGGAGGCAAGAGAATTGTCTAGCCCAGGTGTTTGAGACCAACCTGGGCAACTTGGTGAGACCTTGTCTCTACAATAAATTAAAAAAATTAAAAACTAGCCAGGCCCGGTGGCACGCACCTTTGCTTCCAGCTACTTGGAAGGCTGAGGGAAAAGGATCATTGAGCCCAGCAGGTCAAGGCTATGGTGGCCGTGAACTGCCACTGCACTCCAGCCTGGGCAACACAGTGAGACTCCAACTCAAAAAAAAAATAGGATAATTATTTGGGCTTTTCTTTTCTTTTTTGGGGGGGGGTATTGGAGTCTCATTCTGTCACCCAGGCTGGAGTGTAGTAGCACACTGACAGCCACCGCAACCTCAACCTACTGGGCTCAGGCGATCCTTCCACCTCAGCCTTCCAAGTAGCTGAAACTACAGACACATACCACCATGCCCTGCTAATTTTTTGATTTATTGTAGTGATGAGGTCTCACCAAGTTGCCCAGGCTGGTCTCGAACCTGTGGCTTCAAGCAATCCTCTCATCTCAGCCTTCCAAATTGCTGGGATTTTAGGTGTGAGGCACCACGCCCGGCTATTTGGGCCTTTCAAGTGAAATCCCTCAAGACCATTTTGCACAAGAATTTAGTATGCATAGAATTGCTTGGGGTGCTATTGATAGTACAGACTTCAAAGCCTCTACTTCAAAGATGCTGATTCCTTAGGCATGGGATTTAGTTATTTGTTTTTATTTTATTTTATTTTTTTAGAAACAGCATATCACTGTGTTGCCCAGGCTAGAGTGCAAGTGATATGATCACAGCTCACTGCAGCCTCAAGCTCCTGGGCTCAAGCTGTCCTTCCACCTCAGCCTTCAAGTAGCTGAGATTACAGGCACATACCACCATGTCTGGCTACTTATTTTACTTTTTTGTAGAGACAGGTTCTTGCTATTTTACCCAGGCTAATCTCAAACTCCTGGCCTCAAGGAATCCTCCTACCTCAGTCTTCCAAAGAGGTAGGATTACAGGCATGAGCTACTGCACCCAGCCTTAGAACCTACTTTGTTTTTTGTTGTTGTTGTTGTTTGTTTGTTTGTTTTTCTGAGTTGGAGTCTCACTCGGCTGCCCAGACTGGAGTGCAGTGGCCGCTCCCGGCCACCGCAGCCTCACCTGCTGGGCTCCGGCGATCCTTCTGCCTCAGCCTTCCGAGTAGCCGGAA